AATGACACCCTTCTAAGGTTGATGGATGTAGAAAAGTCTTCCAATATTTGTAGGAGGTTTATAATGATCCTCGCCCACAATCTATATTCCATGTGACTGGCATTTACTGAGGATTAGAGCCTCCTGACTCCCAGCAATGGATTGATGGGTTTGTGGCGTTGATTGCTGAGTTTTTGAACAAAAAAGCAATTGATTTCGGAGTCTTCATCAGCACTACATTTAGAGGTCAATATGTGGCACTGAAGATCTAGAAATGACTAGACTTTTTACAAATAGAATAGCTCCAGGGATATATTCAATTTTCATGGTATTATAGAACCAAAACTCAGACCTTTCTTCTCCCAGTATTCACTGGATTTCTCAAATGCTAGCTCAAAACAGGTTCTAATTGTTCATTATCACCCATCCCATGAGTGTAAAGTAAAACAAGTTCCATAATAAGAAAGGGCTTTATAATGGTCTTTACCTCAAGTTCAATATCAGATGAGCTTTTGATTTTTTATGATAAATCTCCTACTGGTGAAACACTGGCTTACATAAAGAATTTAATGGTCATAATGTAGTTTTCTGTCATTGATATTAATAAAGACCATCATCTCACCTGATGCTGTTGCTAAAATTTCCAGCAGTGGGGTCAAGGATAATCACTGACCACTGTTTTTAATATCATCCATGACCTCCTTTTTGAGACACTGGAATTAAAATATTACATTTATGTGACGGGAATCAAATTGAAAAAATTGGCTGGACCGTATAGAAAAGCTTAGATTTTTGGTTTCAGAAACAATCAGCATTGCTTATAGGCAGCCAATTATCCTATTCCTTATTTTATTTCCACCTTAGTTTCCCTTGCTTGATGTAACTCAAAGTTTACACTTTAAAAAAATGCTGCTGTAAAGTTAAAAGGACTGCACATTCGAAAGTAAGAGAGAAATAAACATGAGTTCTACTAGGGCCAGACACGAAAGTTGTTTATATTGAAGACCATCTTAAAAACTCCAATAAGCAAATACTTCTGGACATTAAATGATCTGAAAGCCATTGCTAAAATGTTGTTTCTGCTTATAGATGTAGAAATCTGGCACAGTTAAAGAGGGGAAAATCACTTTGTCTAAAGTTAAACATGGATTCAGTTGAGATGAATTATGTTTATTCCACTTGTTAAAAGAAAACTTGGAGTTTGTTCCACTTGGAGAAATAGGCCCACGACTTGCGTCTGGGTTAGCATGAGATCTCTTTCAGAGAAATGTGGGCCCTTTATATGTCTGGTTGTGCTGAGACTTGTAACTTGTGGTGAGGTAAGATGTTGAGTCAGGGAAACCTCACCTTACAGCCTTTTTTAGTGCCTCTTTAGACAAGGCACATGAAAAATATCAAGGAATTTTAGTATATACTTTGAAATAATTTGTTTTTCTGGAAAAACAAAATCACGACTATAGATTATGTCCTAAATATTTTACCCAGAGAGCAGCCAGAGGGAAACCCCCCAAGGATTCGGCCTTCTGCCGTTCTTACTGCACATGCAAATACAGTTCACATGTGAATGCTGCATGTAGATTTGTCACTGTCGTTTGCAGTTGTAGTAATTGGAGTGCATCAAAGGCTGTCGTCACTTATCTCACTCATTTCAATTAGTGCATGAATCCTAGCATTTGTGATGTTGGTTTTCATCTTAGGCATATTGAATTTGAATAAAATGAGGGAAATTGCATCCTTCAAAAGTATGTTTGTCACACAGACAGTAACTGCATCAGGCACACACTGCACCTCTTCAGCAGTCCCATCTTCCAGTCACACAGAGCAAACAAAAGGGAGATGAACAATAAGCTTTTAAAAATCTGGGGAATGAATTAAATGGCCATGTAGAAAAGAGACTTGGATATGTGTAATTCAAGGTAATTCAATGGCAAAGGGTCTTTTCTCTTTCTCCATTTAATTAAGCTCTGAAAACAGAGTTCCCCATGTTGTAGTGATTAGAGATTGATTTTATTAATCCTAAAAACCAGGCTTTGGAGCTCAATAAATACTTCCTTTAGAAATAACAGACTTTGGGGTTACCGCTGTGGTTCTGTTACCCATGCTATGCCACATTTCATAAGATACTAAAACTGCTGGGAGATCACATCATCAGGCAGATGCACTATGGCAGGTGGCTGCAAGGTACTTCTGTGGGAAAGTCAGGGGTTTCAGGGAGATGACACCTTAAGAATGCAACTTAGTGTCTCAACTAAGCTCAAGAGACAAAACCCTGGTACCTTATTAGTGTACCTCTTGTAACCTTTCAGAGCCCATATATGGTTATAAATAATGTTAAGGGGTTTCAGGGAGATGACACCTTAAGAATGCAACTTAGTGTCTCAACTAAGCTCAAGAGAGAAAACCCTGGTACCTTATTAGTGTACCTCTTGTAACCTTTCAGAGCCCATATATGGTTATAAATAATGTTAAATAATAATAATAATAATAGCAAAAAATGTTGTATAGCATTTTATTATTTAGACCTGATGTGCTTTTTAAAATGTATGTGTTTATTTATTTTTATTGTGGTAAAATATACATAAGACAATATTTACTATTTTAACCATTTTTAAAGTGTACAATTCAAAAGTGTACAATTTATAGTGTACATTAAGCACATTCACATTGTTGTGTGACAATCACTACCATTCATCTCCAGAACTTTTTTCATCTTCTTAAACTGAAACTCTGCACTCATTAAACAACAGCTCCCCATTCCCCTCCGCCCGGTCCCTGGTAACCACCATTCCGTTCTGTGTCTACCACTCTAGGCACCTCATAAGTGGAGCCATACAATGTCTATCCTTTTGTATCTGGCTTATTTCACTTACCATGCCTTCAAGTTCGTCCATGTTGTAGCATGTCAGAATTTCCTTCTTTTTTAAGGTTGAACAATATTCCATTGTATGTATATACCATGTTTGGTTTACCCATTTATCCACCCATGTACATTTGGGTTGTTTCTACCGTGTATGCTCTTTATATATTAACTCTTTTAATCCTCAGAATGATTCAGTGATGTAGATATTTTTATTATCCCCATTTTGTGATAAGAAAACTGAAGCATAAGGAGGTTATGTATGTGCCCAAGTTTATATAACTAGGAAAATCTGGAGCCCATGTTCCACACAAGGCTGAGTGAATCCACCATTCCTGCTTATAACCATTACGCTATCTCACCTTCCCTTTCATATATTTTAGGAATCTAAATAAACCACATACCAGTTAGAAAACCATTTGTATAACACTCGGAGGCCAGGTTTTTTTTCTGACAATATTTACAGGTTATAAAAGCTCCAAGAAGGGCCGGCCCGGTGGCGCACTAGGTAGAGTGCGGCACTTAGGAGCACGGCGGCGCTCCTGCCGAGGGTTCGGATCCCATATAGAGACCGGTCCGCTCACTGGTTGAGCGTGGTGCGGGCGCGACACCGAGGGTTGCGATCCCATTACCGGTCACGAAAAAGACAAAAAGGAAATAAATAAATAAATAAATAAATAAATAAATAAATAAATAAATAAATAAATAAATAAATAAATAAATAAATAAATAAATAAATAAATAAATAAATAAATAAATAAATAAATAAATAAATAAATAAATAAATAAATAAATAAATAAATAAATAAATAAATAAATAAATAAATAAATAAATAAATAAATAAATAAATAAATAAATAAATAAATAAATAAATAAATAAATAAATAAATAAATAAATAAATAAATAAATAAATAAATAAATAAATAAATAAATAAATAAATAAATAAATAAATAAATAAATAAATAAATAAATAAATAAATAAATAAATAAATAAATAAATAAATAAATAAATAAATAAATAAATAAATAAATAAATAAATAAATAAATAAATAAATAAATAAATAAATAAATAAATAAATAAATAAATAAATAAATAAATAAATAAATAAATAAATAAATAAATAAATAAAAGCTCCAAGAAGTAGTTTAACAACTGAATCCCATAGCAACTGATTTGTAAAGAATCCCATTACTACAAAATAAAAAATCAGTGCTTTACTCTGGCACTAGCCCTGGACTAAGTTCACTTAGCTAATCTTCCTGTATGATATGTGTGTGTGTGTGTGTGTGTGAGAGAGTGTGCTTTTGTTTATGTGCGTATGAGTGTAGCAACATGGTAATAATATTGTCCCCATTTTATAGAAAGAGAAATTGAGGCATAGGGGAGATGGTAAATTACCTGTTCAAGGACACACAGTAAAAAACAGAATTCATACCCATACTCAGATAATTTCTAACTCCAGAGCCTGTTCTGTTAATTGTAGCACGTTTTATCTTTTTCTGCTCTCTATGAGGAATGTGAAATGCAACATTGAGATCTGTGTATAACAACAATTATCCTTACAGCAGCAGCAGATACAAATTATCCTAGGAAGCTTGTAAATAACAAGCAAATCTATCTGTCAAGAGGCAATCCCTTCATTAGTAAGTTACTGCATGCTGTTATTCCAGTTAACACATCTGAAAACTGGGAATGAAATTGCTTCATAAAACATGCTAATTGTACTGATAGGTTTTGGAAAGCAGTACTGGTGTGCATGTGTCAAAATTCTGAGAGTAGAAACACCTGTGAGAACAGCTTCTTTTTTTTTTTTTTTTCACAAAGAGATGAAGAGTAGATGTGTGACCCTCAGCAAAACTGTGACTTCAATGCAATCGATCTTCTTCTAACCCAGACTCCTAGTTCTGGCTTTCTTTTCCATTTGCTCCATTAGTGCAATCTCTTGACCCCTTCAGTCATTGCCCAGAATCCTCATACTCAAACATCCTTTTCCCCCAAACACATACATGTTATTAAACTGGAAAGAATCTAAGAATCTTATGTACATTTTCATTCCCAGCAAGGCCACCATATACAGACATACAGGCTGCCCACATTTTGGGATATACTTCAGGGTTCGATAGGGACATGATGCTGACTGTCCCTCTTGTTTCTCGCAGAGCTCCAGGACAGCACGCTCCGAGGAGGACCGGGACGGCCTCTGGGATGCCTGGGGATCATGGAGCGAGTGCTCACGCACCTGCGGTGGAGGGGCCTCCTACTCACTGAGACGCTGCCTCAGCAGCAAGTAAGTCCTGCACCTGCTGGGGGCTTAGAGAGAACCAGAGGGACCAGGTTTGAGGCATAGTTTTGTGGTTGGAGTTCTGCAGAACATTTTGTTGCTTATGAATCCAGATGAAGGAAAGAAATGGAAGGAGGATCCAAAGAATTAAATTTTTTTTATGTCCATCTCCAACTAGCTATTTATATTTATTTATATGATACGCAATATAGAGTTTATCTCATTAACCAAGCAAATTTTGTTTTCATGTTAGAACTGAGAGGAGAATTTTTTATGAAAAAATGGTTCTAAAATCATTAGCTCCATTATATGTTATACTTTTAGCATCAAATTAACAATTATAACAGTAATAGCGATAATATTGGCATTAATAGCATATTTGAGTTTATGTTGGATTTCCAGTGTTACCAGATACTTTGCAAATGAATGATATATTGGTTTAGTTTTGTAGATATTCTAATAGCCTGAAGTTTCCTAAGGTCATTCAATTCAATGAATGCTGAGTTTTGAATATAAGGAGATTTGGAAAAATAGAAACTTCAGTGGGAATTAGGGCATGAGTGGTGAAAGACATGAAGAAAGCAGAGTTGAGGGTGGATAATGGCTTCTAAGCTGAAAGGAAAATGTCTGAGGCCTTAGAATGGAAAGTTTTTATTTAGAGTAATAATAATTCAAAACTGCTTCTTGAGCTGTGTGGTCTATGACTGGATTTGTCTTGAAACTATAAAATATAAAGTACCATGGTAATATTTTTTAATGAAATCTTTTATTTGACAGGGAAAAGTGTTATATGCAGCAAGTAGGAGGTTTGATCAAAATCACTTTATATTATAAAGTGTGACAGAAAGGAAAAATATGCATCTGCTGATTCTTCTAGCCTTTTCATAAACAAATAGCAGAAAATGGTGAGATGTAGGTTTAGGAAAATGTCGACTTACTTTAATAAGAGTAGGAATTTCTTGAAATCAGCGTCTCAGTCTTATTTCTTTGTTTCCCTGAGGCCTGCACAGGGTCTAACAGATATTAATAGCTCAATAATTTGTTCTTCTCTGAATCTATTGATAGCTAGAGACCATTTTAGTTTCAGACAAGTTCCACTGGAAATGGTGTATCCTGACATCATTTTGTGGCCAAAAGATATATCCTGCAGGATATCAGATCAATTCTGGTATCTGGCCCTTCTGGTACTTGGGTCTGCATTGAAGATGGGTCTATTAAATTGCATCCATCAACAAATTTGTCTGTCTTCTTTTGAGACCAGTTTTATATCAACCTGACCCTGAGCTAATAGGAAAGAAAGAATAGACCTTTACTCCTTACGATTCTTCTGCTCTTAATCTTGAACATAAAAAAATTTCCTAAATCTGTAAAACATGATGCTACGTGGTGATAGTATAACTGATTATAATCATACATTAGTAATGCCAAAATGTACAAATTTGGAAAGTTCCTGTTATCTAGTTTTCTCAAATTAGCCTCCTTGAATATTCTGTAGGGATAAGCCAAAACATGAGCTTCACAAAACTAGCAAGAAATGTATGGGAACTTTCATACTGTCTCGGGGGTGTGAATGTACTTTTACTGAGTAAGAGACTGAGAAGCAATTTAAGGAATAAATTAAAATAACATATAAAATTCTATCATTCAGCAAATAATCAAATACTAATGCTAGATGAAATACTAAAGTACCAATTTTGCCACCTTGTAAGTTAAGTTTCCAGTTGTTATTTTATTAAGATACTATAAAAGATATCAGTTATCTTCTGATTATACTGTATTAGAAAAGTAGAATGTAAATTTTATTATAAACATATAGAAGACATGTCTTTATTTGAGTTTCAACTATTGAAAAAATGTATTCAGTAAACTCTTACTAGATTGGACAAGAAACTAAGAATTTGAAAAAGAAAAACGAAGCCTTCAAATAGGTGGCATGTTCAAATCTAGCAAGAATACAAAGAAATATTAATGTGTGTCGTCATTTCTAGAAAGCTGGTGACTGATGTAGACCAGTACATTACATACATGGATATACGTTGTATTCTTAAAGAATTCCAGCCATTCTTTAGCAAATCAAAACTTGCCACCATCATTAAACTCTGGAACAATCTGGATAAAAATAAAATGTACATTTTGTTAAATCATGAAAGGACTATTTATATGCACCCTGTCATATATTTCAATGCCATTCTTTAATAGAATTTGTGTTGTGAGGTAAGTTTAGGCTGAACTGTACTGATTCTGATCCTCTCGAGACAAATGACATGTAGGCTGACTGAGCTGTTCAGTCTGTAATTGTAGTGGGCTTCCTGGGAACAACATCCTGTGATATGACCACATTAACTTATTACCTCTGTGCCCTAATGAGTTAAATCTGCCACCCACAGACTTTTAAAAGGAGCCCTCTCCCCCCTCCCACCCAAGTGTGTCCCCTCCATTTGCTTGTTGTAAGAACTTCAAAAAAATAAATAAATAAAATAAAATAAAATAAAATAATTGTGGTTGTTATATCTTCCTCTCCCCCCCGGTTTTTTTGTTTTTTGTTTGTTGTTGTTGTTTGTTTGTTTTTGTGTGTATGTGTGAGAGAGAGTGTGTGTGTGTGTGTGTGTGTATGTATGTGTGTGAATTGATTCATTCNGCCTCCTACTCACTGAGACGCTGCCTCAGCAGCAAGTAAGTCCTGCACCTGCTGGGGGCTTAGAGAGAACCAGAGGGACCAGGTTTGAGGCATAGTTTTGTGGTTGGAGTTCTGCAGAACATTTTGTTGCTTATGAATCCAGATGAAGGAAAGAAATGGAAGGAGGATCCAAACAATTAAATTTGTTTTTTTTTTCTTATGTCCATCTCCAACTAGCTATTTATATTTATTTATATGATAAGCAATATAGAGTTTATCTCATTAACCAAGCAAATTTTGTTTTCATGTTAGAACTGAGAGAATTTTTTATGAAAAAATGGTTCTAAAATCATTAGCTCCATTATATGTTATACTTTTTGCATCAAATTAACAATTATTATAACAGTAATAGCAATAATATGGCATTAATAGCATATTTGAGTTTATGTTGGATTTCCAGTGTTACCAAGGCCTCCTACTCACTGAGACGCTGCCTCAGCAGCAAGTAAGTCCTGCACCTGCTGGGGGCTTCGAGAGAACCAGAGGGACCAGGTTTGAGGCATAGTTTTGTGCTTGGAGTTCTGCAGAGCATTTTGTTGCTTATGAATCCAGATGAAGGAAAGAAATGGAAGGAGGATCCAAAGAATTAAATTTTTTTTATGTCCATCTCCAACTAGCTATTTATATTTATTTATATGATACGCAATATAGAGTTTATCTCATTAACCAAGCAAATTTTGTTTTCATGTTAGAACTGAGAGGAGAATTTTTTATGAAAAAATGGTTCTAAAATCATTAGCTCCATTATATGTTATACTTTTAGCATCAAATTAACAATTATAACAGTAATAGCGATAATATTGGCATTAATAGCATATTTGAGTTTATGTTGGATTTCCAGTGTTACCAGATACTTTGCAAATGAATGATATATTGGTTTAGTTTTGTAGATATTCTAATAGCCTGAAGTTTCCTAAGGTCATTCAATTCAATGAATGCTGAGTTTTGAATATAAGGAGATTTGGAAAAATAGAAACTTCAGTGGGAATTAGGGCATGAGTGGTGAAAGACATGAAGAAAGCAGAGTTGAGGGTGGATAATGGCTTCTAAGCTGAAAGGAAAATGTCTGAGGCCTTAGAATGGAAAGTTTTTATTTAGAGTAATAATAATTCAAAACTGCTTCTTGAGCTGTGTGGTCTATGACTGGATTTGTCTTGAAACTATAAAATATAAAGTACCATGGTAATATTTTTTAATGAAATCTTTTATTTGACAGGGAAAAGTGTTATATGCAGCAAGTAGGAGGTTTGATCAAAATCACTTTATATTATAAAGTGTGACAGAAAGGAAAAATATGCATCTGCTGATTCTTCTAGCCTTTTCATAAACAAATAGCAGAAAATGGTGAGATGTAGGTTTAGGAAAATGTCGACTTACTTTAATAAGAGTAGGAATTTCTTGAAATCAGCGTCTCAGTCTTATTTCTTTGTTTCCCTGAGGCCTGCACAGGGTCTAACAGATATTAATAGCTCAATAATTTGTTCTTCTCTGAATCTATTGATAGCTAGAGACCATTTTAGTTTCAGACAAGTTCCACTGGAAATGGTGTATCCTGACATCATTTTGTGGCCAAAAGATATATCCTGCAGGATATCAGATCAATTCTGGTATCTGGCCCTTCTGGTACTTGGGTCTGCATTGAAGATGGGTCTATTAAATTGCATCCATCAACAAATTTGTCTGTCTTCTTTTGAGACCAGTTTTATATCAACCTGACCCTGAGCTAATAGGAAAGAAAGAATAGACCTTTACTCCTTACGATTCTTCTGCTCTTAATCTTGAACATAAAAAAATTTCCTAAATCTGTAAAACATGATGCTACGTGGTGATAGTATAACTGATTATAATCATACATTAGTAATGCCAAAATGTACAAATTTGGAAAGTTCCTGTTATCTAGTTTTCTCAAATTAGCCTCCTTGAATATTCTGTAGGGATAAGCCAAAACATGAGCTTCACAAAACTAGCAAGAAATGTATGGGAACTTTCATACTGTCTCGGGGGTGTGAATGTACTTTTACTGAGTAAGAGACTGAGAAGCAATTTAAGGAATAAATTAAAATAACATATAAAATTCTATCATTCAGCAAATAATCAAATACTAATGCTAGATGAAATACTAAAGTACCAATTTTGCCACCTTGTAAGTTAAGTTTCCAGTTGTTATTTTATTAAGATACTACAAAAGATATCAGTTATCTTCTGATTATACTGTATTAGAAAAGTAGAATGTAAATTTTATTATAAACATATAGAAGACATGTCTTTATTTGAGTTTCAACTATTGAAAAAATGTATTCAGTAAACTCTTACTAGATTGGACAAGAAA